AACCCGAAACCCTAAATCCTGAACCCTAAACCCTAAACCCTAAACCCTGAACCCTAAACCCTGAACCCTAAACCCTAAACCCTAAACCGGACATCCCATGGAAACACTGCAGAACCGCTCGCTCAGGCCCTGGCAGTCGGCTCATTGGGGTCCTTCTTCTTGAAGAGCCCTGAGCTGTGTCTAGGACATTTTCAGGTGGGTAAACGGTTTAGGGTTTAGGGTTTAGGTTTAGGAGCCTTATAAAAGGCCTATATACCTTATAGAAGCCTTATATGAAGCCCTATAGACCCTAAACTCCTGAAAATGTCCTCGACTGTGAGCTTGTTGGCTCCCCTACCGGGAGATCTCTGTTTGAATGCTATAGACTTGTAGGGTTCAGAGTTTTGGGGTTTAGGGCTTTAGGGCTTTAGGGTTCTAGGTTTTTGGAAGTCCAACTCCGAAAGCTGCCACGCGTTACTACCTAAACACCAGGATCGAGAACAAGTCGATGCCCCAAGTTAGAGTGCACAGCATTCGGTCCAAATGCAAAAAGTTTGCTTTATCACCACCGCAAAGTCCGGAAACACATGGGTAGTTTTCTAAATTAGGGTCCCTCTTTATTAGGTCCCCAATATTGCACGGCACCTTATAAAAAGTACCCTAAAAAGGGACCTTAATTTAGAGAACTACCCACATGGCCTGTTCACCCCGAAGGCCACATCAAACCGAAAGCTCAAAGGCGATCTTAGACTGCCCATGAGACCCAGGAACTGCCCCAGGATTTTTAGGGGTTTAGGGTTTAGGGTTTAGGGGTTTAGGGTTTAGGGTTTAGGTGTTTGGGGTTTAGGGTTGAGGGTTTAGGGCTTTCTTGCAGTCCAGGGCTCTTCCGAACATGTCGTCGTGAAGGCCCGGAGAATGAAAGGACGTGTGATCTGCTTGAGCCCAGCTTTGACATTGTCCGTTTTAGGGCTCGACGTCGAAAGGTGTCGGTGCAGGACAAAAAGCAGCGAACAGGTTTGGTGGACAGGTCTATCGGACGGGACTATGGGTGGTAACTACTGCACTTCTAGGCACGCACATACTGCTAGTCTCCATTGTGGCTCCTGTTTTTAAATAAGAGATTGCTGATGAGCCGCAAAAAAGGAACTAGAATAGAAGCTACAGGTTACGCCTACCTGAACCCCACAGCACGGCTCCCGTCAGCGGATGCTTTTGTCTAAGGTTAGAACTATGGGCCCCTAGTATGGACCCTTAGGCTTTTCTAGCGACCCTTAAGGGTACATATAGGATATATAGTAGGTGTATAGGGATCCCAGGGTTAAGGGCCCATACTAGGAGCCCATGGGTTCAACTTTACTGTGTTGGCCTTTAAGCCCTCTGAAAAATATCTATATAAAGGACCCCTTTATAAACCCAAATAGGGAACATAAAAAATGTCCCAAAAACCAACCTAGTTTAGATACCCTAAACCCTAAACCCTAAACCCTAAACCCTAAAGGCCACCTCTCGGTAGCGGTTCAACCTTAGATTTTGTAAGCAAGGGCGCGCAGGTCTCTTGGAGGAGATCCGGACGGTCTCTTCCAATGGGATCACCCCACGCAGTCGCCGGCCCCGGCTCTCCAAAGAGCTGCCTAGGCCTATAGGGCCTTAGGGTTTCGGGTGTAGGGTTTAGGGTTTAGGGTAGGCCTCTAGGGCCTTAGGGTTTCGGGTGTAGGGTTTGGGATTTAGGGGTTTAGGCTTGAGGGTTTAGGGCTTCAGAGGTTGAGGGTTTAGGGTTTAGGGAGTTTGGGGTTTAGGGCGTTTAGGGTTCAACATAGTTCAACTCTATGCCCTAAACCCAAAGTGTTTATGGTTTGGCGTTCATGGTTCAGCTCGGATTCTGGGAAGAAGCACAATGCAAGTCTCCCCATAAGTTTTGGTGATCACGGTACAAGCCACGATACGCCCACCAATATTCCCACAGAGGCTTCTCTGCACTGCTATTCTACATGGATTAGGGTCCTCAAAATAGGGATTAGTGATTAGAGCTGATTAGGTGTGCTCAGATAAAAAAAAAAGTTGAAATAACAGGGGTTGCAGCTGCTGGTTTGAGTCGAGCTTCCGAGCCAGGGTTGGGCTTGCACGACATAGGGCTGGTCACCGTCTAGAATAAGGTCTGGCAGCCAACATGTTTCGCATGTGCGCTGCATACGCCTTCGAGACTCAGGTCTAAAGGCGTCGTAGAGGGGCCTGTGGCCGTCGGTAAAGGACAGTCCGTCGGCCTTATAATAAGATCCTGCCTACAGCACGAATAGCATTGCATCGTCGGTTGGCAAATACGTACATATTCAGACCCGCTCTTGTTGCACGTTCATCCGCTGGAGCACAGACTTACAGTCTTTCCAGCAGCCAATGACAAGATGGGAGTTTCCAAAAATTAGGGTACCTTATTTTGGGGTCCTTATAATAAGGATCCTATTATTTAGGGTACTAGATTAGGGTCCCCTATTTTCGGAAACCCCCAGATAGCTCAGCCGCAATCATGCAAAGCGAGCTTTGGAAGACACGAAGCACTGTGAGGAAGCGCACGGTTGGCAGGCCCCCTCCGCACAAATGTAGGGTTTGTTTTGGGTTTAGGGTTTAGGGTTTAGGGTTTAGGGTTTAGGGCACAAGTGTAGGGCCTGAACACATTAAAACAGGAAACTGCAGTCCGCTATATTGCAAGAATAATAAAGAACGCGAGTAGGAAAAGTGCATTACACCCCTAAGTCCTTGTTTCTGTAAGTCTTTAAGCTAGCAAACAACCATGTGCAGTAGGTGGTCTTGTCCAGCTCGGAAGATAGAACGTGACAATGTACCTAACAACCACGTCTCACCCAACAACCAGAGTGCGTGTCGCGTCGAACAGGGTGTTCTGTTTGATCTTGCTGGAAGATAGCCAGAATGTGGCAACAAGAGTTCCGACCTCAAAACTAGTCTAAGCTTTGGTGGGAGCCATATAAACCCTAATGCCCTAATCAACTGTGAAGCTCTATATAAACCCTAAAGCCGCGAACTCCAACGGGAAAAGCATTGGGTCTCGTAACTGAAGTCTTGCGACTAACATACCAATACCACACACGGCAACCGAACAAACTGAACCATGGCACTGACATGTGCAGGCTCGCGGTCGCTGAAGCGTGTGGGGTTTAGGGTTTAGGGTTTAGGGTTTCGGGTTTAGGGTTTAGGGAAGGAATAATCAGACCTGGCACAATCCACCCGCTTGTTTAGAAGATGGCTGATTAGTTGATCAGACGAACATACAGGATCCAACCTCTTTGCGCCATGTGCCCTAAACCCTAAACCTTAAACCCTAAACCCTAAACCCTAAACCCTAAACCCTAAACCCTAAACCCTAAACCTTAACCCTAAACCCCGAACCCTTACTGCTGAAGAGCTAAAGCGGTTGCAGAGCACAGGTAGAGTCGAGCAAAGCCCTGAGATTCCGGAGTGGTCTAGTGTAGGGGCCTTCATAACTCGAATAGGGTTCCTTCAAAGGGTTCCTTAAAGGGTTCTATAAGGGCTACTAGAAGGGTTTAGGGTGTAGGGGCCTTAATAATTAGAATAGGGGTTTGGGCTCCTTTAGTATAGTGTAATGATACTAAGGAACCATATTGGCAATTTCTGCAGGCTTCTAGAGATTTCTGTAGTAGGTTCTAGCAATACACGAAGGCAGCGGAAAAGATGCCTTTCCATCAGGAAACACAGCAAAGATCTGACACCTTGAACCTGAAACATCAAACGGTGTACTGGCCCAGCTTTATTACTGATTGAGAAGCAGCGATGCCACAATCTTTAGAAGCAACCCCCAGGATGCCCTCACCACCCGAAAATACCCTGAAGCCTTGCTGCAAAACGAAAGGAGGGAACCCCAACGCGTTGGCGGCATCCGGAGCAGAATAATTCGCATAGCTCTTAACGTGAGGACCCCCTTGTGATTCGGAGGAAGCACAGCCTAATTACCTTGGCAAAAGATGTAAAGCCTCTGACAGAGAATGAGGGCTCTGTTCAAACGAGGGACAGTCGGGATACACGTCCTTCAAAAGAGGTCCCAGCCAAAAAGCAAACCTACCTTCAGGCTAATATAGCCTCCTGAATAATTGCCTACACTATTTTTCGGGGGTTCCTTATTATAATCATGGCATAANNTATTCTAATTATTAAGGCCGCTACGTAACTTCGAGGATACTCTGCACGACTAGCTCGTGAGTTGGGTATGACTTCTTGTCATCAAAAGACTTATGCAGCGAAGGTCTCTATTCTACAGAAGAGGTATCTTCTTTTCTATCCGATTCTGCATTCGTACCTTCCATTGCATCACATCGCGTATGATATTGTAGTACAAACTATTTCAATATTTTCACACATTGCGTGGAGTTTTAAGAATTGTATTGTACTACAGTACTTCGTACGCCGCATATTGTATTCCTGTAAATACTGTCATATTGCATTGTATTACATGCTATACCATGTGGACTATGATACGCTATACTACGCTTTGTTATATTGTTGGCAATGTTCGGTTGTGCTATGTTGCAACAGCTGAGTCTACCCAAACCTGTCAAAATATGATGTGGCTCGTTGCGCATGAATGCGGGGCTCAGGATCAAAAATCCTACCCCCNNCCCCCCCCCCCCCCCACAAACACAAACCAAATCCGTAAACCGTAAACCAAAGCCTCCAACCATGCCCTACGTAATTATGGTCATCCCCAAACATCTAATTAACAATAAAAGCACATGTCAGATTGTATTGTGCTTTCCCCCAAGGCTCCAAGTATACAAA